ACATCTCAGAGTACTTATCAATTAAACTATGATCATGAAAACAGTACTTGGAAAAGCCCATAAGATTTTGTTAAACGAGGGGAGAAAAGATAATGGAAAAAGGATCGAAACCTCGTGAAAATGAAAATAAAAAATAGCCACATAAGCTAAGCTGGTTACTGATGTCATACCTTAACAGTCTTAGACTTTTTTGCAAGGGCATTAAGAGTCCTTGTTAATGAAGCTTTCACACCTTCTATGTGTGTTCCACCATCAATAGTGCGAATGCTATTGGCATATCCCAGCATTGTGTCTGAATATGCATCTGAGCACCTGGTACAAAATTGTGCCAGCCCAATAGGATCAGATCCATTTAGAATAGTCATATATTATGTGTAGTCTTGTGTAAAACAAACTACAGCATGTCGAGAATAACATGAACAAAGGTTTTTATTGATACAATCTACAGGTAAGAGTAAAACCAAAATCATGCAGCCAAACTGTTCAATTTAGTGGGTTTGGTAAACCCAGGCATTTTACCTCTAACAGAATATTAGTTGGATAATATAATCTCATGTATATAGGAGTAACATACCATTGAAGGGCAACGTCCACGGTGGCACCATTTATCTCTCTCCTGAAACCCAGCACGTCATGAATTGGATTCTACACAAAAAAAAGATTGTCAGTTAACCTTTTCAAGTAAACGTAGGTCCAAGGAATAAGAAAGTAACAATGGAGATACTAATGCTTAGAGTTCACTTCTGTATAAATTGAGTTCATAATAGTTCATAGACATGCTGGAGTAGATCCCTTGATAGCAATCAACTAATCTAAAGTAGTGCTCAACATATCTTGCTCACTTAAGTAAGCAGAGAAAGACATTCATTGGCACCACTGCATTCCATATCGTTTCACAGAATCTTTTCAAAATTTTAGTCATCTTAGCCTACTTAAATAAAGAATCTGATAGGCTTCATATACACCAAATGTAATTCCAATGAGTAGATTCTCACCTTATCAGTGTTTAGCCAACTAACATATTCAGTTAAGCCTCCAGCAAAATAATATTCACTATATTGGTTCTTTTCAGGATCATCATCCTCTTTTTTTAAAGAAATGGTAACCTGCAAACATAAAAATAGAGTAATTTGTTATGACAAAAAGAATCATTAAACAGCAGCCTATGCCAAAAGTGAAGATGCTCCATGAAGTAAACTATAATAAATTCTCATGTCTCGATGAAAAATTGTCATGGTTGACCATGCTTTAAGTAAAGTAATTTCACCTTTGGATTCAGAAATGCGAGCTCCCTAATTCGTCCAGCAATGGTGTTATGGTCGAACTCAATTGCAGTTGTGAATACTGAAAAATAGTTCATTCCATAGAGGAAACATCAATCATCGAAACCAGTTTTGGCGAAGGTAAGGTAGTGAAGAGTGGAAAACAGGCAAAACCTTCTTTGTCAGGCCAAAACCTGATGCTTGTTCCTTTAGTCCTCTCTGACTCTAGCGTGAGGACACGACATGTAAGTGTAGTTATGGGCTTTCCACGAGAATAATTTTGCTTATGCTCCATGCCATCTCTCCAAACCGTGACCTCCAGAGCCTGCAAACCAATTGATCAAAGAATCTTCTAAGTTAGCTATACTGATAATTATAGTCATCAGCTAGGTTAAATTTCAAGTCATTCCAAACAAATGTCCTGCAGTTCTTGTGGTGGAAGAGTATTTGACATCAACATGCCCTAGACTTCAATAAGGAAATACCAGCTTTTTACTCGTAACAATCCCATAGTAGCCTAGGGTTTCAGAAATAAGTGAAGGGGAGATATAGAGAAAGAGATTATTTCCAAAAGAAAAGAAGAAGCAATGTGAGTAAAGATTAGAACACACCTCAGACAAAGCATTTACTACTGATAAACCTACACCATGTAATCCACCAGACACACTGTAGCCACTACTCGTGCCACCAAATTTGCCACCTGCATGTAAAACCTGCAGAAATAACAAGCATGGCAGGTAAATCGCATGACAATAATAGTATGATCATGAAGCTCCAAAATAAACTGCAGAACCTCCATATTACTATTGTGAAAAAATATAACGTTATGTAGCAATACCGTAAGCACAGTCTCCAGGGAAGATTTTTTGGTAGCAGGATGCAAATCTGTGGGTATCTGCAAGAAAGATTTATATATCAACGAGAATAGATTATGGTTCACATCTGTGTTTGCTCTCCATTTGTGGTAGATGTAAGAAAGGAAAAGCAAGGGATACCAAAACTAGCACAAAATCTCATGATTAAAGAGAAGATGGGACATATCACATACCCCACGCCCATTGTCCACAACACTGACTGAGCCATCTGCGTGCAGGACGACATCAACCTTTGAGGCAAAACCAGCTTGAGCCTCATCAATTGCGTTGTCAAGTATCTCATAAACCTAAGAAAAGAGATTACATTAGAAAAACATAAAAAGATGTCAAGAGCCACCAGTTTAAACAATGGGTTTCAAAGGGTAAAGCATTTACCAAATGGTGCAAACCACGAGGCCCAGTGCTCCCTATATACATTCCTGGCCGTTTTCTGACAGGGTCTAAGCCTTCCAGCACCTAATGGATCATATGAACATATAAAGATTGAAATTAAAATCATGACTTCAAACAATCTATAGTAGAAAAGAGGATAATTAAATAGAAGGATAATTAAAAAAGTTTACTTGAATCTGCTCAGAACTGTAACCCTTGGATGTGGTAGTCTCTTGGGAAGCCTCAGTAGACAAGAACCTCGATGAAACAGCATTTCGTTGTATCAGTCTTTGATTCAGAACATTGGTAAACTGAAACTTTAACCTGAAACTGAAAGAAAACTCAATTAAACAACAAATTGAGGAATGCATTGCTTTGTTCGTCGCATTCTGGAAGAGAATCAGGCAAAGAACCACCAAGGTATTGAAATGTTTACTTTACCCATAAGAACCCAGAACCGCATATGAATATAGCAATGATAAAGATTAACACTCAAAAAGCAAAATTTCACAGCAATCTCAGGGAATTTCTCTAAAGTAACCTAAACCCATAAGTCCCAAACACACAGACTTTATAAAAAAAAGCTAGAATCAAGATACTCCAAGTATAGATTTCCAAATTCTAGGCCATTTTATGGGAAACTTGACACGAAATTAGAGAGCTTGACAATTTCAATAGCTCAAGCCAAAGTACTGAACCAAGAATACGAAGCCAATTTCGTATATCTCGCCGATTTTTGAGGAACCCAAAAAGGAAAACGAAAGAGGAGAAAGAGCGGAAGCGAGAACCTGGGACTTGGAGAGGAAAATGGAGGCGAGGAGAGGAATGAGCTGTGACGGTGAAAAGCAGGAGAGAGAGAGCTAGAGAAGAGACGAGGTCGAGAAGCCATGAGCCGTAAACGCAGATAAGAAGCTCTCTGAAGAAGCGCCATGGAATTTAGAAACTCTTAAGAGGTTTTTCTTCTGCTTCAAATTTTGTTTTTGTTTTTTTTCACCCTCTCTGTATAAAAAAAAGATAAAACCCTAAACCCCCAAAGGCCCAAAAAGTATTTCTCTAAGAGAAGTAAATAAATAATTACGAAAAACAAGAATTTTGCCGCCGTTTCCAAAGCAATAGAATACTCCGAGAGGCCGAGCCCAAACTAGAGCTGGCTTAATATATGGGCTTATTTGTTAAATAGCCCAAGTATTATCTATGTTTATGTTCATAATTTTGGTGGTAAAATTTGTTTGGTATGGTTTGATTAAAGAACTCGGAGGTTTTTACTTGCTCCAGGGTTCGAACCGCGACTATGGGGAAAAAAAAGACTAATTTTACATGTGTTGGTTACCGTAACCGAAGAGATTATGGGTTAAAAGTCCATAACGTTTTAGTTACTTTTAAATAAATATTTACAAAGCGTTATGAATTTATTTAAAGACCAAGAAACCGATTACAGAAGAGATGGGTGGATCCAAAACTATAACAAAGTTTTGGATCAGACTATATATGTTATTTTTTGAGCAAGTGTCGTCTCATTTCTGTTCACTTTGGTGCTTGTGTTTGCTCTTTTTGGGTGGTCGTCTCGTGATACGCCAACTGACGATAAGCTGTTGCTCTTATCTTATCATCATCACAATTCATAAGCGAGAGGCAACGAGAGAATATGATAGAGAGAAGGTGGCTTTTAGAGCAACTTTAAGGACATTTCATATCCTTAAGGCTTCTTTAAGAGCTCAAGTCTATTTCAGCCACACATACACACCTCAACTCTATACCCTTACGTGTCTTTTCGTAAATTCACATATTTTATGTAGTTAGTTATACATACATAGTGTATATTCTTATTAATATTATTAAATACCATATCTCAAATATCTAACAAAAAGTTGATCAGAATAAACACTGGATACTATTCCAAAACGATACATTTTTAAAGTCGAAATTTTCCACTTGAAAAATGTATTGATCATAATTATTATGCATATATGAATACATATTTTGGTGTATTTTTTTCTTCTTCTAAATGCCATGTTGTAGACATATTTTTTTGAAAAATGCTACTCTATGTAGAAAGAAAAATTTATTGTTGTATGTAACGAACCTGACTCTTCAATTATTTGGTTTTGAAACGTTTTCAATTTAATAATAAAAGAGATTCTTCCATTGATTTTCTCAACTTTGAAATGTTAATTTGGGGGCATAAACGGTCTTATATGTATCTTTTATCTGATGGATATGAATTTAAGGAGTAGTCACCATCTTCCCTCTATCAAAATGACAATTTATCTACCCTTAATTTCATGTCTCAAATCCGGTTTAATGACCCAAAATTGTCGTATCAAACCGGTTAAAGCAACGGAATTCTCTAAATGGCGGTCCCAGATTCCCGACCGTTACCATTTTGTTTCTTTCTTCAAAAAGAAAATTCGATTTTGTGCACTACGTAAAATCCCCAAAATACCCTTTTAATTCAAAAAGCGAATTTTGTGTACACGAATAAATACGAAACAGAGAAAAGGAAAGAAAGAGAGAAGAAGAAGCTCTCATCACTCATCTGTTATCTTCCTCCTCTTCTTCTTCTTCCTCTTCTTTTTTTTTTTTCTTTCTTTCTTACATTTATCTTTATTTATTTTATTTTTTAGTGTGCATTTATCTTATTTTCCACACACGCCTCTCATTTTTTTTCATTTCAATGGCGATGAAATCTCTTTCCCCTATTCCTAAGCTTCTCTCCACAACACCAAGCTCTGTTCTTTCTTCTGACAAGAACTTCTTCTTCGTCGATTTCGTTGGATTATACTGTAAGTCCAAGAGAACCAGACGCAGACTTCGTGGCGATTCCTCCTCAGGCTCTTCTTCTTCTTCTCTCTCTCGTCTTTCCTCTGTTCGTGCTGTTATCGACCTTGAACGTCTTAATGGCGTCTCTCACAAAGATCTCTCTTCTACTTCACTCTTAAAACCTCAGGTACGTTTCTTCACTGATGTATTTTCACAACAACCCAACTTGAAATTTACGACCTTTTTGGGGTTTGGTGATTGATCTTTGAGCAGGTTGCTAATTTGGAGGACATATTGTCTGAAAGAGGAGCTTGTGGAGTTGGGTTTATAGCAAACTTAGATAACATACCTTCACATGGAGTTGTCAAAGATGCTCTTATTGCTCTTGGTTGTATGGAACATCGTGGAGGTTGTGGAGCTGACAATGATTCTGGTGATGGCTCTGGTCTTATGTCTTCCATTCCTTGGGATTTCTTTAACGTCTGGGCCAAGGAACAAGGTCTTTCTCCTTTTGATAAGTTGCATACTGGTGTTGGCATGATCTTTCTTCCACAAGAGGATACCTTTATGCAAGAAGCCAAACAAGGTGACTATCCTTAATCATAGATGGAACTAGCAATCCGGATTCAATATGTTGCTAAAGAAGTTTGTTCCTTTTTGGTTTTTTGTAGTTATTGAAAACATATTTGAGAAAGAAGGATTACAAGTTCTTGGTTGGAGGGAAGTTCCTGTGAATGTTCCTATAGTTGGTAAAAATGCTAGGGAAACAATGCCTAACATTCAACAAGTGTTTGTCAAAATCGCAAAGGAAGATAGTACGGATGACATTGAAAGGGAACTTTACATATGCCGTAAACTAATCGAAAGGGCGGTGGCTACTGAGAGTTGGGGAACAGAGCTATACTTCTGTTCACTGTCCAATCAAACCATAGTGTACAAGGGCATGCTTCGGTCCGAGGCTCTTGGATTGTTTTATCTAGATCTTCAGAATGAGCTTTATGAGTCTCCCTTTGCTATTTATCATCGAAGGTACAGTACAAACACTAGTCCTAGGTGGCCTCTTGCTCAACCAATGAGGTTTCTTGGACATAACGGAGAGATCAATACCATACAGGTTCTACTATTTCTAGACATTGTTATGACTCATCATTGTACTTTAACAATGAAGCATCCAAGTTCAAGAAGATTCTTTGTTTGAATTGTGCAGGGGAACTTAAATTGGATGCAGTCTCGAGAAGCTTCTTTGAAGTCCTCTGTTTGGAATGGCCGTGAAAATGAAATTCGTCCATTTGGTAATCCCAGAGGTTCAGACTCTGCTAATCTTGATAGTGCTGCAGAAGTAAGTTTCTCTTAGTTTATTAGGATAATGATAGATCATATGTTGCAATACAGTTTTTCTATTATCTCGCCTCTCATTTGAATATCCTGCAGATCTTGATTAGAAGTGGCCGAACTCCAGAGGAGGCTCTAATGATTCTTGTCCCTGAGGCATACAAAAATCATCCAACCTTATCTGTCAAATATCCTGAGGTAGTGTTGATATATGCAACATCTGTTGTGATATGTTCTTCAAGAATCCATTGCAAAAACTCACTATTTTCTTTGCTTCTTTTTCAACTGCAGGTTATAGATTTCTATGACTACTACAAAGGACAAATGGAGGCTTGGGATGGTCCTGCCTTACTTTTGTTCAGGTAAACCTTTTGAGTACCTAGCTGTATTTGACCATCTTACTAGATCAGGTTACAAAAAAAGGTCATTTAATCAAGTTATTGGTTTATGGAAGTAGCCAAGGGAGTTTCTTGTCACTGCATTCTTGTTGTTTGCCTGTTGTGTCTGAGCTCAGGCTTCTTCTATTCCCTGTCGTTTCTCCATTCTTTTTTTCGGCTTCTCCTCAGGTTTATCTGACACTTGCTACTTGAATTCGTCACCTAGTGATGGAAAAACAGTTGGGGCTTGTCTTGACCGTAATGGCCTTCGTCCTGCTCGATATTGGCGGACTAGTGACAATGTCGTCTATGTAGCATCTGAGGTATTTCACATTTTAATCTATAAAGTTACATTTTTTATTGATCATGATGGTTGGTTCAAGTCACTCTACCACCCGATTTACTGGTTTTACAAGACTCATTAGGTAAGAGAAGCCTATTCATTCTAGTAGAAACTTATAATTATAACGTGCTTGTCTTGTTTAGGTCGGAGTTGTACCAGTTGATGAGGCAAAAGTCACGATGAAAGGCCGTCTAGGACCTGGAATGATGATTGCTGTTGACCTAGTGAATGGCCAGGTTTGTACATGTGCAGTCCAAATCTTGTTACTCTTATTTTTGAACACATTCCTACAGTTTCTGTAATGATAGTACCACCTGAGATATAACTCTTTAGCTGACTCAGAGCTCGTCCAACTTACAGGTATATGAGAATACAGAGGTCAAGAAGAGAATATCTTCATTTAATCCATATGGAAAATGGATTAAAGAAAACTCCCGGTTCTTGAAGCCTGTGAATTTCAAATCCTCAACTGTCATGGAAAATGAAGAAATCTTAAGAAGCCAACAGTAAATATTCCTGAAACTTTCAGTCTTCTGTTAAGATATGCCTTTTGTTAATCATCTGGAAGGTAATACTTACAAATCACATCTTATCAGGGCATTTGGTTATTCAAGTGAGGATGTGCAAATGGTTATTGAGTCTATGGCTTCTCAAGGAAAGGAACCAACCTTCTGCATGGGCGACGATATTCCGCTGGCAGGATTGTCTCAAAGACCACATATGCTTTACGATTATTTCAAACAAAGATTTGCGCAGGTACATTCAAGTCGTAGGAATCTTGATAGGTGCCTTTTTATGGCTAGAGTTACACCTTTCTCATATACCTCTATTTTCCAACATTTTTTTTTTCAAATTTTGATCATGTTCTGGTTTCAGGTTACAAACCCTGCCATTGATCCCCTTAGGGAAGGTTTGGTTATGTCTCTTGAAGTAAATATTGGAAAACGTGGAAATATATTGGAGCTTGGGCCTGAGAATGCCTCACAGGTTTTGACTCTCTTGATTACATCTCCTCTGTTTTACCCCATTTTGTTTCACACTATATCTACTTATGTATTGGTTTTGTTTTTCATGAATCAGGTTATTCTGTCTAACCCTGTGTTAAACGAAGGAACGTTGGAGGAGTTAATGAAGGATACATACTTAAAACCTAAGGTTCTGTCCACATATTTCGATATACGAAAAGGCGTTGAAGGTTCCTTGCAAAAGGCTCTATATTCTCTTTGTGAAGCAGCTGATGATGCTGTCCGAAGTGGCTCTCAGCTTCTCGTTCTTTCAGACCGATCCGATAGCCTGGTAAAGTGTCTTAAAGTTTCTTCACAGAAAATTTCTCTCTGCCAATCTAAATCTGCTCCAAGCTATATAAAAATCTCTGGTAATTTCGCTCTTTCAGGAACCAACCCGCCCTGCAATTCCGATAATGTTAGCTGTTGGCGCTGTCCATCAACATCTTATTCAGAACGGTTTGAGGATGTCAGCTTCCATTGTTGCTGATACCGCCCAATGCTTCAGCACACATCATTTTGCTTGTTTGGTTGGATATGGTGCAAGGCTAGTATCTTTTGTTTGCTCTGAATTTTCTAAATTTGTCCCTGCCAAGTGACACTAGCTAACTCTTAACTAGATTATGTTCCACCATCATATCCTGTCTCATCAATAAGTATGCTTTGTGAAAATTTTCCACAGTGCTGTATGCCCATACTTGGCACTGGAGACATGTAGGCAATGGCGCTTAAGTAACAAAACTGTCGCATTCATGCGTAACGGGAAAATTCCCACTGTAACCATTGAGCAAGCTCAGAAAAACTACACCAAGGTGAGAATTTCAGTACACGTTCTTAAGATGTTTTCACAAGTAATTTGACCTTAGTTGTTTAAACATTATAAAGGATTCTTATTTACACATGGCTTATCTTGCAGGCGGTTAATGCAGGGCTTCTTAAAATTCTTTCTAAGATGGGCATCTCATTGCTTTCAAGGTTCCATTTCTACAACTATGTTATGTTATGTTATGCAGAGTTCTACAAGTACTGACTTGGAATTTTCCTTTGTTCAGTTATTGTGGTGCTCAGATATTTGAGATCTATGGTTTGGGGAAAGAGGTTGTTGATCTTGCATTCACTGGAAGTGTGTCAAAAATCAGTGGACTCACCTTTGATGAGGTAAGAATACATCACATTTATTTTCTTATTACTTTTGATTCAAATTTCACATTTCTTCTAAGAAAATGCAAACCTTCTCTCAGTTGGCAAGAGAGACATTGTCTTTTTGGGTGAAGGCCTTTTCTGAGGATACAACTAAACGATTAGAAAATTTCGGGTTTATTCAATTTAGGCCTGGAGGTAAATACTTTACTTCAAGTTTCTCACTTCTTGATTTAAATCCAGTGTGCTTGTTCATTTACACAACAAGCCTTGTTACGTTTAGGTGAGTATCATTCAAACAACCCAGAGATGTCAAAGTTGCTCCACAAGGCTGTCCGTGAAAAGAGTGAAACTGCATATGCAGTCTATCAACAACATCTCTCTAACAGACCTGTTAATGTGAGTTTCTTGTTGCTCTTTCTCAGCATTCTTTAAGGTTTAGTTTCTTGACTAAGTTATCTCTATCTCTCTCTCTTTAGGTCCTCCGTGATCTCCTTGAGTTCAAGAGTGACCGTGCACCGATCCCAGTAGGGAAAGTTGAACCAGCCGTTTCCATTGTCCAGAGATTTTGTACTGGTGGAATGTCACTTGGTGCTATTTCAAGAGAGACTCATGAAGCTATTGCTATTGCTATGAATAGGATTGGTGGTAAATCAAACTCTGGAGAAGGTGGAGAGGTAAATAAAATATCCATTTTCTCTTTCATAATAGTAATAAAATCAAACTTTCATGCCCTGTTTTTTCATTTCCCTCTATAGGATCCTATCCGTTGGAAGCCACTTACAGATGTGGTTGATGGGTATTCATCAACATTACCACATCTCAAAGGTCTTCAAAACGGTGATATCGCAACAAGTGCTATCAAGCAGGTCATATTCTCATCTGTGTATATCACAGAACTCTGTTACATTACTTTACCTTTGAAAGAAATGATAATAACTTTTCATTTGTATTCTCTCAGGTTGCTTCAGGACGTTTTGGAGTCACACCAACATTCTTGGTCAATGCAGACCAATTGGAAATCAAAGTTGCACAAGGTGCCAAGCCTGGGGAAGGTGGTCAGCTTCCTGGAAAGAAAGTTAGTGCATATATCGCAAGGCTAAGAAGCTCTAAACCTGGTGTTCCGCTTATATCCCCGCCTCCTCACCACGACATTTACTCTATTGAGGATCTTGCTCAGTTGATCTTTGATCTACATCAGGTGATCAATCTTTTCAGAACTCAATAAACAGTTGAGCTAAACAAAAGGAACTCCATATAATCTAACTTCTAACTGAACAAACAAACAGATTAATCCTAACGCAAAAGTATCAGTCAAGCTGGTCGCAGAAGCTGGAATCGGAACAGTTGCTTCTGGAGTTGCAAAGGGTAACGCTGATATCATTCAGGTATCAACTTGAGAAGAAAACATTGCCTCTTGTTTCTCCCATGTTCTTGCGCCAAGAAGTTTCATTGTTCTTTTTTGATATGATTTTCAGATATCAGGGCATGATGGTGGAACTGGTGCTAGTCCAATAAGCTCCATAAAACATGCTGGTGGACCATGGGAACTTGGACTAACAGAAACTCACCAAGTAAACTTTTTGAATACCATGTGGTACTAATTCTATTGGACATTCTGAGTCTCTTAATAAAAAAATCTCATTTCTTCTACTTGCTTTTTTTTCTCCTTTGCAGACTCTTATCGAAAATGGACTCAGAGAAAGAGTCATTTTAAGAGTCGATGGAGGCTTAAAGAGTGGTGTTGATGTTCTAATGGCTGCAGCTATGGGTGCTGATGAATACGGATTTGGTTCCTTGGCAATGATTGCTACTGGTTGTGTTATGGCTCGTATTTGCCACACTAATAACTGCCCAGTGGGTGTAGCAAGTCAGGTAAACTCAAAAGACTTTGTAAACTTTCCTTGGCTTCTTGTTTATCTTTTCTTGAGCTTCACTAATGCTTGTATAACACTCTCTGAATGGTCTCAGAGAGAAGAATTACGTGCAAGATTCCCCGGTGTGCCTGGTGATCTTGTCAATTACTTCTTATACGTAGCAGAAGAGGTGAAAACTTTTTTAATATCTCAAATTTTCAATCATTAAGATTCTTATTGGCTAATCTCATCTGAGGTATAATCTTTTCTCTGCAGGTGAGAGGTATCTTAGCACAGTTGGGATACAGCAAGTTAGATGACATCATTGGACGAACAGAGTTACTGAAACCACGAGACATTTCGTTAGTGAAAACTCAGCATCTCGATCTGAGTTATCTTCTTTCGGTATATGGCTATATCCATACTTTACTTCTTCTGCATAAAATGAAAATCCAGTCTCATATCACTTGTTATAACTTTTTCTTGTTTTTTCACTCTTTTAGTCTGTTGGAACACCTTCATTGAGCAGTACTGAAATCAGAAAGCAGGAAGTTCATACAAATGGACCTGTTCTCGACGACGATATTCTTGCAGATCCATTGGTAACAGAAGTCTTTCACTGCTGTTTCTCACCCGGTTCTTGTGACTATAGTTGCTAACAGTTTTACTATCTCTAGGTGATTGATGCAATAGAGAACGAAAAGGTGGTTGATAAAACCGTCAAAATATGCAACGTAGACCGTGCCGTTTGTGGTCGCGTTGCTGGTGTTATTGCAAAGAAGTATGGAGACACTGGTTTTGCAGGACAAGTGAATCTGACGTGAGAAACACATACTAATGTTTTGTATAAATTGATATGTTTCAGTTCAGGTTATAGCTAAACCAAGCTTTACTCTTTTCTTAATCTGCAGTTTCCTTGGGAGCGCGGGACAGTCCTTTGGGTGCTTTTTGATTCCCGGTATGAACATCCGGCTAATAGGAGAGTCAAATGACTACGTTGGAAAGGTAAAATTAGCATCCACATATATGCATAGAAATCAGTTTTTGCATCAACTGTTACTTGTTATGAAATCTTCTGCAATGGTTGATCTTTTTGAAGGGAATGGCTGGTGGTGAAATAGTAGTAACTCCTGTGGACACAATCGGGTTTGTGCCCGAGGAAGCAACGATAGTCGGGAACACTTGCTTGTATGGTGCCACAGGCGGTCAGATATTTGCTAGAGGCAAAGCTGGAGAGAGATTTGCAGTGAGAAACTCACTAGCTGAAGCAGTAGTTGAAGGCACCGGAGACCATTGCTGTGAGTACATGACTGGTGGCTGTGTCGTCGTGCTTGGAAAGTGAGTAAACTGCATTATATAATGCAAAACTGATAAGAAAATCTATCTGTATATGATATTTGAAATGTTTTCCATTGATACAGGGTGGGAAGAAACGTTGCTGCGGGTATGACTGGAGGCTTAGCTTACCTTCTTGATGAAGATGACACTCTTCTCCCTAAGGTTTCTTTCTCTCTTCAAGGTGAAATTTAGATTCTTGTCTTTCAAGATTCATCTGAACAATCTCTATTTTACAGATTAACCGAGAGATAGTGAAGATGCAAAGAGTAACTGCGCCTGCAGGGGAATTGCAGCTGAAGAGCTTAATTGAAGCACATGTCGTAAGTCATCTCAAAGATCTGCATCATGTTTTAACCGGTTAAAACAAGAGCTAGTGGATTGTATTTGACAGCATCATATATATAACACACTCTTTTGTTTTGGTTAATAGGAAAAAACCGGAAGCAGCAAAGGCGCAACGATTCTGAATGAATGGGACAAGTATCTACCTCTCTTCTGGCAACTGGTTCCACCGAGTGAAGAAGACACTCCTGAAGCTTCTGCTGCATATGTAAGAACAGCCACCGGAGAAGTCACATTTCAATCGGCATAAAGATCATTCAAGAGAAGGTTGTTGCAGTTGAAACACAAGGATTGATATACATACATCAATGGTGGACTATGGAGGGCAAATGGAAAATCATTATCATTTCATAGATCAAATGTGTGGGACAATATTCTTATTGTCTTGTGATCTTTACAACAATACCATGGTTGCTATAACTGTACAGTAAATTCAGTAAAATAACTGCTTTCAACTGTCATATATATAATCATCTCATAAAATTTGCAAATTCTCTTTATTGAATAAGTTTTCCACTTGAATAATCATTAATTAGAAAGAAAGAAAAAATGTTACAGAAGATTAAAATTCTAAAATCTGATAAAAGTCTAACATAAACTAACAAGATTCACTCTTTAAAACTCTTCATCTCTCATTATGATTAATGGCCTAATCCCAAGAGCGTACCATTGATGAGTTCCTCCAGTCTCACTTTGCAATCTCCTCTCATCTGCACAAATTAAAGAAGAAGAAAACTAACGATTTTAGATTCTCTTAACTTTATGAGTTTCATGTAAGAAGAACATGACCTTTTGATTTCTTTAGACAAGTACCTGAAGATGTAGAGTGTAGAAGATCCTTGCGGTTGAAGAAACTGAAGAAGAGACGCTTATGACATTAAGCCCGTTTTCTTCTAACCTAAGCAACATGTCGGAGACAGATGTCCATTTCGATGTAGCAATCTGGACAGCAATCTCAGTGTCAGTGAGCCAATTTGCTGCAATCCGTTGGGAGGAAGAAGAATCTATTGAGTCCATCATTGCTTTGTTTCTCAGCTGTTCTTGGTGAGTTTTTCTCGAGATTCTCTTCAAGAGCTCTTCTTTTCTTCGAGACAAACGTTGAAGTTCTTGCTTCTGCTCTGGTATGTACTTCACCACTCTCGCTACCGTCATCGGAATACTCAGCTTCCTCTGCATATCAAAAGGGTTTCTTTAATTAGTATATAAATCCATTTCAAGATTACAAAACCTAATCTTGATCTGATTTTTTAGATGTTAGAAAACACTTTTAAAAGCACAAACCTTTTGGTCAGACAGAGGCAAGAGATCACGAAGTGAAGAGTACAAGGCGTTAAGCTTTCTGCGGCGGTCTCGTTCGCTTGCGTTGTGATTCAGTTTCTTCTCCAAAACAGTTCCTCGAACTTCTTCTTGATCATTGTTACAGTTACTGTTAGTATCATTGCTGTGTCGAGTAAGACGTATATGATGAGGATAAAGATTGATGTTATAGCTCTTGGAATCATCTAAAGGATAAAGGAAAGAAGGAAGATATTGGAGAGTAGGAGAAAAGGAATCAGCTTGAGACTGCAGCCATGGATACTCCATTGTTGAAGCAGAGTACCATTCTTGTTGCTTACTTGGAAACATTGGTGTTAAGGGACACATTTTTTTTGCCCTCTTATGTTATGTGTGAGAAGAAGAGAGAGAAAGAGAGAGACTTTGATGGTGAAGATGAAGAAGGAGGAAGATGATAAGACCGAATTTGAGATGGAATCTATATATCTATGTGTCTCCGAGGAGTTAGTACTTATAGGTCCATGATTAATGGAAGTTTCTTTAAGCTTTTTTAAGTGTCGTCTTACTCTCCACACGCAGTCTCGTGCCGGAACGAGTAGGGCACGGGCTCTTCGTACAACATTATCTATTTACGATAATATTAAATAACTCGACGATCGAGGTTTTTAGTCCAAAACTATAACATATTTTTAAAAAACTATATATTATAAATTAGTTAATTAATTTTTTCCAAAAATAATGTTTCTTTTCAGCAAACTATTTTGTTAATGCCAAAATTCTATTATTGATTTAAGTACATTAACCTACTTTGGAAAAAAAATTATAGAGGACAAAATTTTCTTAAATTAAATACATTTTTTTTGAACTAAGTCTTAAATTAAATACATAAAGCCAAATTTTTCTTAGTTATATTCTGAACATGTGAACGCAGTTTGAGGGTATCTGGACTGGATGTAATCCTTTCAATTGGTCAATTCAATATATCACCAATTAAGTTAACATCTTCATGCATGTTTGCATACATCATACTATGAAATTCCTTCTAGATTTAACTTATTGAAGTTTTGTTGATTTGCCCCATGGAATTTTCTACTTGGTGTTTAGTGAACCATTATGCATCCGAATAAAATATACAGTTTCAAAAGATTACCATCAAAGTTATGTTAAAACAAATGTAGATTTTTAGTATTTTTATTAGGGAATACTACTATAAATTATTTTCATTTTTCTTAATTTGATTTAGTCATCTAAGCATTTACCATTCAGATCCATACATATTAGTACTGAATGAATTAACAAAGAAAAAGAAAAAACAAAGTTAGAAGAAGTAATGACAATATAATATCAAATATAAATGATCTAATCGATGACGTTTATCTTTTTTTTTTTTGTATTTGGTTTAAGGTTAATATTATCAAAATAAATTTTGTCATCACTTCATTTTATATTTTTTCATTTAACGTAAAAGGGGTAACAAAGGATAAGCTCCAGATTTGGTTCGCCTCTCGGGACTAGCTACTTTATTCTTTTGATCATCTCATTTAAAATCAAATTTTAATACAAAGACGTATATAATGTACAAATGGTCTTCTTTTTTTTTTTGTATTTGGTTTAAGGTTAATATTATCAAAATAAATTTTGTCATCACTTCATTTTATATTTTTTCATTTAACGTAAAAGGAGTAACAGAGGATGGGCTCCAGATTTGGTTCGCCTCTCGGAACTAGCTACTTTATTCTTTTGATCATCTCATTTAAAATCAAATTTTAATACAAAGACGTATCTAATGTACAAATGGTCTTTTTTGGTTGAATATAATTTTACATTCATTCAAAAAAAAAAAGGGTAACAGAAAATACTATCATACACATGGAATTGTTAGAACTCGATCCATAAGCTGATTATTTGACCAGTTTAGTTCTATCTTGATTCCATACATAGGTATTAACTTATAACTTTCTTTTGTGTTATTAATCTTAATATTAGGGTTTATGTATTAGTACATAGTCTGTTTGTATCAGAATATCACCATTTAAAGGTAACGTAAACAAACACAAATTAGGTAATTAAAAGTCTGTTTAGTCCAACTGATTACATTCTGGGTGGTTGGTTTCAATGCTAGTCTCTAAAACGGTATATTTCATCACCTTCATATTTATAAGTCATATAAGAAAGGAATTTTTCTTAGATAAAAATATTTTGTAAACATCCGCGAAAGCGAAGGTTTATAACCATTCATTCCACAATGAGCAATCGAATTTATAAACCACAAAAGTAAGACAACGATTCACATATGTATCATATCGAACTTTTAATAAGTTCAGATCATCAGTAGTAGTAGTTTTTTTTTTTTTTTTAATAAATCATCAATAGTTTTCATCAAATTAGTGTTTAACTAACGCATGGTGATTCAAAAGTGGAAGATCACTACTTATGATGGATCCTCAAAATATTCGACTTCTCAATCGGTTTCCAAAGATTAAGGTTCCTTCTTTCGCATGTTTTGAGGATCATCCCAAGACTTCTGTCCGGATGTGTTATCTTTTCTTCATGTTGTTGAAATAAAAAGATCCCACTTAATGTAAAATGTTCAGACACATGTAACAACAAGTGAAAAAGTGAAAATACAAGAAGTAAAACGTACGCGCTCTTTCGTCAACGGCACGTGTTAGTCGTAAGGTCGTACCAAAGATCCACATCTTCACGTACACATCATTCACCGGCCACTTTCCTCTCACGCCTCATCATCATTCATCGATCTATCTATTTGGACATACACATTTCCAATGTTCTAAACCCTAATTGCAAATTAGTAAATACTTATAGTTTGAGAATTCGAAGGACTGTTAACTATTTGTTTTACTTCATCTTCCAAAATAGGAAAAGTGTTTCCTTCTGTTTATCATTTAATTTTGATTATCCTCTCTTATTTATTTGATTGAGAATGTCTCCTTTCAATATTTTTCTATAGATTTATCTTAAAAAAAAAACTACAAGAATCGTGACATATTAAAAATCAAAACGGGAGAACTATTATTCTTCATCGGTTCATCATTTTATAATTCATATAATGTTCCTTAACCCTAAAATGGGTATAAAACCAATTAACAGAAGATATACCCTAAAATGTGTACACTAAGGTCTCGCCTACGTTGACATTTCAAAAACCAATTTCAGAAAGTAAAATGAATTAAAGTCTTTGCTTTTATTAAATTCCTACATATGGTAGAAGCCTAGAACATAAGAAATCACGTTATAAAATAATACAGTATATTCCATATACAAAGAACTTGCTGAAAGAAAACATTCATGATTTAATTCTATTAGAATTGACTTGTGATTCAATCATTCATGAATTTTTTTAATTTTATTTTTAGGGTTGAAACATGATTGCTTTCTTAGAGAGAGCAGAGCTATTAAAAACTGCAAGACTAACTTCCCCTCACAAAAAAGAAAAAAACATAGCAGAAGACAAAGAATGTTAATTTGATATATAATGGTTTGCACGTCGGCGACAAGCCAGAAACCATATTCCTATATATGCATAAAAGTAAATAGAAACTAAACTTTTGCCATTGTTGGTAAGCCGTCCACTTATTTATCGATTAAAAGCTGTTTGGAAGCTACTATAAGAATCTTCGAATCAGAAATACACGAGAAAATATATATATATATATGATAGTAAATTTTCTAGATATATTTTCAAGATTTAAACGTTTACAAGTTCTAATGATATAGTACCTTTTTTAGAATAACGTCATGTTTTCTTAAATTTTGTTCTTTATCAAAAATGTGCAACGTCATGAAATTATTTCCATTCATATGTTCACAATCTATAAATAATTTTTGTACTTTTTATTGTATTTTTTTTAACAAACAAAAAAGAGGAGGAGATATAGACACAAAATAAGCAAACAACAAAAAACGTAATTGGTCAAAACTGATCATAGCGTGGAGTAGCATTTGTTATATACTAATTAATAAGTTAAATAGCCAAAATGGTATTTTAACTTTGAAACACAAAAATGATTATCTCACCATCGAATCTAACATAGTCCGATACATATTACATTATAAAATACGTATAAAATAGTTACAAAAAAATCACTATTGATAAATTCTCATCTCCTAAATCCCCAAATATTTCAGGTCCTAAGGATGAGTCTTGAACAGATGAAGAAACAAACATAGAGAAGCTATATATGTTGTCCCTTGCTAATGTCTGACAAAGTTCATCTAAATCTGCGTTTTGTCTCTCCATAAGCAACCACCCCAAGGACGGTTATGGAGTACCCGCCAATTCCCATAACCGTAACCGGGTTTCGAAAGATCAAGATCGAAATCACCACTGCAACTGCTCCTTTAGCATTTCCAAGAACCTGCGCAATGTGTAACATAATCAACATTGTTAGTCTTGTTATCTGCAAGATCGAGCTCTCCTGTGAGAAAAGGAGATACAGAGAGGGATAGGCAAATAGATTTTACCTGGAGGGTGAGGGCGCTTGTGTGTTTGGTAACCAGAAAATTCAACAAATTGGCTGAATAAGCCATTACCGAGTTAACCAGAAGAAGTATCCACATATACTGATGTTGTTTTGCTAGCGTCAAGGTCACACTGATCACGTCTGGTTCCATAAATAGCGTGACAGGAAGAAGAGCAATGACAGCTATCGGAGACATATACAACATCAAATTCATTGAGTTCAATTTTTCCCTGCAGGTGAATCAAAAAAATTACATAAAGATGTTGCTGTTTGTGGAATTGATTATCTTTGGTTGTTAACAATCTAATTCTATGAATTAAAATCTTAACCTGATAAAGTGATGTATTACAACATTCTACCTAACCAACCATTTATGAGGTTTCTTTATTTGGGTAACAAAAGTTTCCTGATTTGCTCATCTAACACTACTTGCAGAATCTAAATTCTATTAGGATAAGATTCAGGTCATATTCTGATATTACTTACCCCTCTGAAGAAAGTAAGATGCCTTGAAGAACAGATTTGAAGGCTCTAGCAGCCGTAGCACTAATGCACATTATGAACCCAAACCAGTGAAATCCTGGCTCACCCTGCAAAATCAAATGGTACTTAGATCAAGAGCATGCACCCAAAAATAACACCAAGATCCACTCTTCACAGTGATAAATCCAAACACCAAAAACAAGAATATGATATAGCCACTTCATATATAAGCTTATAAAGATATCACCTTGATGGATAAATAAGGAAGGTTAGATCCCAAAATGATGTTCTACCAAATTCTACACCTGATGGCTGAACCATAAAAGGCTGAAGCTTTTTAGAAATTTGCCCTGATTTCAAAGTTGTCCAAAGTTCAGATCTTTCTAATTAACATATACAACAAAATCCTTCAACAGTAACATCTACCGACAGATCAATCATCAGAATCCAAATTACATCTCCCAAAAAGCAGGAATTTCAAATCTAAGAAGGTCCACATTCAACACTGACATTGTTAAGAGAATTGAGAACAGAAGAAGAGGAATAAAAAGGCGTACCCCACTGGCGATGACGACACCGGCGACGACAGGGACGAGAGCACCATAAGTAACCCAAGCTTCTCTCTTAAGGGTCATAAGATAAGCGAACAGAGCGGTGAAAAACGGCGTCGTAGCACCGACAGCTTGATTGAAAGAGACGGGAAGGTAACGAAGGGAGATGTTACCACCGACGACGGAAGCACAAAAGACGATGCTGAGAGTAGCAACCTTGAGGAATTGGGAACGAGATTTGAGATGTTGGAGAGGAACAAGCTTGAGGAAGACGATGGATATGTAGCTAAGGATTGCACAAGCGGACATGTGACACATTGTGAGGAAAATGGGGAATTTGAATCCGTAATTGGAGAGGAGGAACTTGTTGAGGAGAAGAACACCGATGTTTGAAGAGTACCATGAGATGATTAGTGTCGATATGAATAAAGTTTGTTTCTTTGAAGACGACGACATTGTTGTGTGTTTCTGATCTGGGTTCTTCTTCTTCCTCGACGAGATCGAGATTTCGTTGGAAGAGAATGAGAGAGAGAGAGAGAACGAGAGAAATCAGGTCCTTACTTGGAGCATGGAACGGCAAGGACACAAAAGCTTTTAGATGAACAATAAAAGGTTAAGCTTTTTGCTTTTAGATTAATTAATGTTGTGTGTAACCCTTGTTTTATTATTTCTTTAACGTATAATTTGTTTCTTAATTAATTTAAGATCTATGTAAGATAATATCAAATCGTTGCCTAAATATCGACGATAATATCAAATCAATATTTGTATTGTTAAACTATATGGATTTCAACAAGATAAAAAATATGAAATATGATAATTTCAACAAGAGATAAATTCGGCTCACATCTTTCAAACTTTATATTAATATATAAATATTGTTGAGGCTATTTGGAAATTAGATACTTCATTAAATCGTTTATCTATTACTATATCAAATTATTTAGTTCTTAAATCAATTTGGAAAAGAAAAAAACACAAAGCAACGAACTAATACAATATCAAACCGTTTCAAATTAAGAGTCAGTTCAGTTTCTTAAACCGAAGTCCAAAACCCCGCTAATTTTAGTGTCGGTTAGATGAGATCTACTTCCAATGGCATTATTGTAAATAATTTGAAATCAGAGACAAAATTCCTTAGAGTGTCCTTATCTTTCTGACACAGTTTGAGGTCAACTAAAAATCACATTCAAAGCTTTGATTTTTATTTTTCGTTTCGACATAAATCTCAAAACTTGAAGATCCTTTAATTCTGATCTCTTCTCAAAGTTTCGTTTTTGTTTATCTTAATTGTCAAAACGTTTCATCGATGTCAGGTTACCCTCCGACGAGCCAAGGTTACGGTTACGGTTACGGCGGCGGAAATCAACCTCCACCACCTCAACCACCTTACTCCTCCGGCGGTAACAATCCTCCTTACGGATCATCAACCTCTTCTCCTTACGCTGTACCCTACGGCGGACCTAAACCACCGTCATCCTCTCCCACGCCGCCCTACGGATCTTCAAAGCCTCAATCTTCATCATACGGAGCACCGCCTCCTTCTGCTCCATACGCGCCTTCTCCAGGAGACTACAACAAGCCGCCAAAGGAGAAACCTTACGGAGCCTACGGAGCTTCCGGCGATTACGGAGCTCCACCGCCGCCTGGACCTTCTGATTACGGGAGTTACGGTGCTGGACCTCGTCCGACGCCGCCGTCTGGGTACGGTGGAGGATACGGAGCTACTCCACCGTCTGGGATTTCTGAATATGGGAGTTACGGTGGTGCTCCACCTCGTCCAGCGTCTTCTGGTCAGGGCGGCGGATACGGTGGTTATCCTCCGCAAGCTTCTTATGGAAGTCCTTTTGCTTCTCTGATTCCGTCAGGTTTTGCTCCGGGAACGGATCCGAATATAGTGGCTTGCTTTCAGGCTGCAGATCAAGATGGTAGTGGCTTTATTGATGATAAGGAGCTTCAAGGAGCTCTCTCTTCTTATCAACAGAGATTCAGTATGAGAACTGTTCATCTTCTTATGTATCTATTCACCAATAGCAATGCCATGAAAATCGGTGAGCTTTCTGTATTCTTTGAATTGTCCAGGATTGTTAGTTTCTGTTGTTAATCCATCTCTATGATACTTGTTCAGTATCGTTATTAGTCCATCTCTGCATTTCATTATTTTTCTAAGATTCATACTTTGGGTCATGTGTCAGGGTTTTTCTATTACCATGTTGGCTAAATTAACAATATTTGTAGACTTTTCTGTGAGTTACGTGCAAAAGAGTACCCCCACTGTCTCTCTATCATCTTGTTGAATCTTGGTTTCATTATTTTAGTACTAGTTGAATTTATAAATAATCATTCTAACCTGGTTTTGAATTGGTTTCCTGTACTAACTTGAGAAGTCTCCATGTTGCAGGACCTAAGGAGTTTACTGCACTTTTCTACAGTCTTCAGAACTGGAGGGTGAGCTCTATTCTTTTTTTTTAAGTTTTCATGACTTTATTGAGTTTCTGGTAGTGATTTAGCATAGCAAGATTGTTTGGATATTCACTTATGTGGTTTATTTTGGGAATGGTTTAGTCCATTTTTGAGAGGTCTGATAAGGACAGGAGTGGCAGAATAGATGTGAATGAGCTGAGAGATGCGCTTTTGAGCCTTGGGTTTTCGGTTTCTCCTGTGATTTTGGATCTGCTGGTTTCCAAGTTTGACAAAAGCGGAGGCAAGAACAGGGCCATCGAATATGACAATTTCATTGAGTACGTTATTCTTTCCATGCGCTCTCTTCTTCTTCTTCTTGCTGTGATCGTTGCTTATTTATTAACGGTATCTGTTTTGCATTGATGCAGGTGCTGTCTCACTGTTAAGGTACACTCTCATTTACTCTGTTTCCCTCTCATACAGCTTCTAGATAAGTGCGCCTAGGTCAAATGAGACTGAAATCTTAATAGTTAGAGGGATTACTCCTGGGAAGAGTTAAACTCAAACTTGTCTCTCAACCCTAATGTCGAACTCTATAGTCTCCATTATGCTAAGTTTGTTAGTTTTGTCCAATGTGGTGAGGTTTAGGGGTCAGAACAGAAATGAGTTTACCCTCACTACTGATTGCATCTGAGACTGCAACGGTTCTTGTTACAATGTGGTTTGGTGATCCCGAGTGTGGTATTTAGAAGTTAGTAATCTGATTTGTAATATGATGGAAACTGCAGGGGCTGACAGAGAAGTTCAAGGAGAAGGACACAGCGTACTCAGGCTCAGCTACATTCAACTACGAAAGCTTCATGCTCACCGTCCTCCCCTTCCTCATCGCATAAGTTTTTGACGGTAACGCGTTTGCAAATCTTAAGTTTTTTTTTTTTTTATGTTCTTCGTTGTGTGAATGCTATTGTCAATGGAACTACAAGAAGCTTTTCCGGTTAAGTTGAACTCAAGAGTTTATAAAAAATGTGAAATGTATAGATCTTGTGTTATAAAATAATCAAACAACTCATTATGGTTGGATATTACATCTTTTTATTGGAATACATGTATAAAAGAAAACTTTATGCATATAATATTGCGTAGTTTAACTTTTAATAAAAAAAAAAGAATAATTAAAAAATTAGTTATGGCCCCCAATTTACATACATCTTCAAAATTCTTTTTCGAATTTTCTTTTTTTCTTTGTATGGAAATTAGGGCTCGGAGTTGCCTTGTCCTATAAGACTGTCTTAGACTGGACCAACTCGTGGAATTTGTAGTCGTGGGCTTGGACTGGACTGCTCATTTAAATAAACCAGACGTCCGTTCAGCGGTTGAGCCGGTCTTGCGTTCTTCTCATAACCCTAGTTATTAACAAAATATGTTTGATTAAAACAAACAGAAATTCAAATTTGTTCTTAGTAAATGTTTATGTGAGAGTGTATAGTTCTTACACCGCGACGAGCATCAGTCAATACATCAATTTGCTCACGCGAAACAGTCCCCACCTGCATTTTTGAATAGGCAATCAAATTTGAGTTGAGATTTTATAGATACAGCAGGATTCTTGAATTCAATTACAATTTGGTTTTAAGGTTTGCTAGGATTGTTTACCTTGTTGATGATGGTCCACATGACATCTTCCGTGCAAGGAGGAGTTGTGAGCGATCCACGGTATTCATAAAATTTAGTAAGATCCCATCCAAACTCTCTTGGATCTATCTTTCCGATGCTGATCTCTCCATCTTGTACGTCTGCGATCTTGTTGATCTTGTCCATTATCTATCGAAATTGTAAGAAGACAATAAGCAGAGAGTTTCCAGAAAAGGATATAGCGGAAACCTAAACACAATCGCGGTAAAAATTACCCGTGAAATGAAAGCATTTGGTGCACCTTCTTTGAAGAGAACTCCGATAACTGCCAAGTGCCCTTCTTCACTTTTGTGTACCATGTGAAGTTCCATGGCCAATCTAAAACCAAATTCAGGTTTGATATTTATTAGCTCCTGCTATATATCAGAAATTGATGCCAATCTTTTGTTTCGTTTTCCCTTACCTCTGTCCATTGAGAAAATGCTCTGAAGGTGCGTGCCAGTGGCTTTGAACCAATTTATAGTCGGTATCATTGATCACGATCTTCCCTGCATCGTCTTCCCACTTAACCTGATGTGCATGCAACATATCAGTCTTACGGACTAATTGGTAAAACAGAATATCTTAGGGTTTATATTTTCGTTCGAACAATTACCTTCATGTCGAATCCACGGTTCTTAAGAATAGCCTCTACTGGTTTGTAATATGTCTGAAGAATCTCTGTAGAATTGTGAACAATGCGAGCTATTTCTGGAGTAAGATTGATTGGCGATTGCCTCTTCCCTGTCCCGCAAATTTTCCATTCAGCCTTGATACTGCTCCATTTCGAGGGATCGGCTATCTCACCGGGTTTGTAATGAAATTCAGTCTCTGTCTCATCTGCAAAAAACCAAGAGAACAAGAGTCAAAATACTTCTCAGAGTTTTGCATTAATTAAATCATACATTATGGACTGTGAACTTATTATACAGTTTAAAATCATCCTTTCAATAGGAAGCAGATCGATAAAGTTCTATCTTGTTCCTATCTATTCGTAGGAATCACAATGGTAACAGTCATATGATGTTCAAGATGGGAAAAAAAATAAAAGAATTGAGAGTTTACCGGCTAGAGATGAAGAAGAAAGAGCAAGAAATGTTACAAAAAGGATAATGGTGTTCATCTTTTGTTTCTTCCTTTTTTTTTCTTCTTCTCTCAGGATAAATGTATGAGATATTCTACCTTCTCTTTTTATGATGTCTTCTTATATAGAAATTTAATTTAGGCAAATTTGGGAGGCTGTCTAAAAACATCAATAAAATTCTAAGGTTGAAATTTTTGTTATTAAAATCAGCTTCTATTTTGATATGTGATGTCTATCAAAGAAAGATTTTCATGGTTAAATTGGGTTAGGACTCTATTTCCTCTGTGAATAGGCCTATTATTGAGCTAATGAGGTCTAATTTAAGTCAAACTCGCACTCCATTTCAAAAAATTTGAGTTCGGATTAATTTTTTACTTATAGTCAAGAGAGAGAAAACAATTCTCTTTGTCTTTTAGAAAAGGTTCAAATAGTAAAGCTCTAGAATTTGTGAGACACCAACTTATGGACAATCTTTGAATTTATATCACTTTTTTGTCAACGAACTTATGTCAATCTAGGGTA